TCACAGCGAAAATGTGTCAAATTATTTAAAAGTTTTATATCGATTTATGCGTAATAAGTATGGATCTCCGGCTTTTAAGGAAGGTTTGTATATGTGAATCATGGTGTTTCATACGATAACCTAGAGAAGGAACAGGCACTGAAATTGTTGTACCCCGAGAGAATTTATGGAAGTGCGGGCTTCGGGTTGCATAGTGTTAACCACCGAACTGTCTACCGATCTTTTTCTAGTTTCAGTAGCGTTTTTCGCGCAGCTTGGGCAGTGGGGTGCTGTGCGAAGCACTCAAGCAGTGGCTTTGCTGTTCAAAGCGGCTGCAGATCATGAGGTTTTTGGCTTGCTTCAACGTCACATCTTTTGAATTGACAGTTTTGGCTAGGCGTCATGCACTCACCATCGCACAGAGAAGTACCGTCCCATATAAATGTTGCATATAGTTGACATGATCATGTGAACGCGTACTTGAAAAACTTGTTCAAGTGGACTGAAAAGCAATGGTAAAGCGAAATAGACGCTCCTCTGACTCGACTTCACTACAAAACAAGAGATACGTTGGAGTACAGACTGATTGGACAGACGCATCTAGCATTGCAGCAGACGATACGTTAAGTGTTTCCAACTCAATATAGTACTGTTAGTTGAATAAATGAATATTGCGCACATTTGAGGGAAGAAAAATCAAGCGCAATTGTTCTGAAGTGTTGTAAAAATTACAGCATATCCGCGGAGTGAAAGACGAGGAGTGGGGCGAAGCTTCCATCAGTCCGTCCGTGCTTCCATGCGGCCGCTCGTTCTTGCCTCCGTCTGTCCGTTCGTCCGTGCAACCGTTCATGCGACCGTCAGTCCGCGCGTCCGTCCGTGCACTCATTCATTCATTCGTCCATCTCTCTGTCCGTCCGTGCGTCCATCCGTCCATCTAGTGAACACTCTAAGTACCACTTTCTCCCATCTTTTCATCATATATTCATCATATACAAGTACCGCCATACATTCCGAGGGCAAAACGAGAGCTCGCTACCTACTACTACTACCATACTACTACTAGTACATACATCGGAGACGCACGACCCCGGCTAAAGGAGCTTCACCCCTATAAATATTTCAATAAACTGTGACGCCCAGATGGAACACAATGATAAAGCACTACTTACCCTGGTGTTTATATTTGTTCCAGTTTTACTTCAATCTCGCGGTCGCAGCAACGTTTTGCGTCAGTTTTGTATGAAGCAAGTTTTCTTAGTAAATAACTTCATATCAATTTCTTTTACCCTCGCCAAGCAATCGGCATGAATTTCAAGAACCAAAGCCATCCGAATCAGATCCGACGATTTATTTCCCATATTTTCTATGGGGGTATGGCTGAAAGAGCCCGCATAGGCATTAGCGCCTGATTCTGCTCTATATGTATTATACTGTGAAAGTTTATAATGCGGATTAACTTTCAGTAAAAAAAAATACAGGTAGCGACGTCAAATTGAAGTCCGCGAACCGGATCTGCATGACGCCATACATATTCACACCATCTACCAGGGTAGATATACAGAGTTTATTAAAAAATTGAAGTTCATCGTCAGCTGTGAGTCAGAGACTAAATTTTCTAAAGTTCGCCAACCTAGTTAAAAACAACAGACAATGATGCCTGCGAAGGAGACATTAAGTGCATTGTTTTGGGTGTGTAATAGTAATTATATTCTCTCCAGTAATGATATGAAAAAAAAAATTCTACAGGGAATAGAAAAAGGCAAAGCTGCCGGTGAGGATCAGGTAGCATCAGACCTTCTAAAAGACAGTGGACAGGTTGTGTTAGAAAATTTGGCCACCCTGTATATGAAGTGTCGCTTGACAGCTATCAGAATTACACAAAATGCAGAGATCACCTTAATTCAGCGAAAGGTGGCGTTTTGAACTAGGAAAATTACAAGATGATCAGCTTACGGTTCATTGTTCACAATCTACTCACAAAAATAAGAGCTAATAGATCTAAAAGGACACTAAAGTTCAATTAAGCAAACAAGTAAGCAGGATTTTGTTCAGACTACTGAACAAAAGACCACACGCATACTATCAATGAAGTAACAGAGGAAAGCGCGAAATACAACTAACCCCTGTTTGTATATTGGGCAAGTACAACAGGTAATCTGCTTGGTTTCTTTTTCAAGTGAATCGAGGCTCCCTAACGGGTACATTCTTGTCTTGCCGGTCGCAATCGCTCGCTCACTGCAACGTCCTTGTTTTAAAGTCGATACTTTGACGCGAAAATTTTAGTCTGTCTGTCTGTATATTTTGCTGTTTGTCCGCCGTAACGATGCCCCAGACGGCACCAAGCAGTACCTCAAACGGCCAACCCTATCCGCAGAACCCACCAATATTGCTTAAGTTTCAGCGTTCACACTTCAGCGATTGTCAATTAAAAAGCAATTATTGCGCATATCTGAGGAACAACACGTCAATATTTTGTATGTGTCTCTTTATACTGGAGAAGGCACACATAAGTAATTCTAAGGACCGTAGCGTTTATCACGCTGCGCTGACAATGCAACGCGATGCTTAAAAAGGCGAATGTTTCCAACGCTTTGCTTAGACACAGTAGGGCACCTGTCCGCCGCTTTGCGTTCTACACCTTATCGCGTCCGCGACAGGCGTGCACGCCTTCCTTCGTTTTCGAAGATAACTGCCAGATAGCGCTCGTGTCTAACGTGCCTCAATGCGGTCATTCGCCTTTGCTGCGCCGGTCGAGACTTTCTAACGCAGTGCTCCCAGGATAAATTTCACTGATTTCCTCTCGCAGAACATCAAATAACTATTTTCTTCACTATCTACACACGCAAGAATATCGTCTTTCGACGACATTTGCAGTGAAACATGAAGATACGAGGCCAATCTTTTTTCACTGGTTGCGTTAGGTTGTGTTTTACGGTGTTTTGGGTGGCTTAGTTGTGTCTATGCCAACCATGTGCGTCGTCAGATGGTGTCGAACAACTTATCAAAGTGGAAAGAACGTCTTTACGGTCGCGCAACAGAGCTGCTGCGATGCTGAGAATCTCGATGAAGTATGGCTTAGCAAACACTGCTGCGTCACCATGTTTTGTTTATGACAGAGTATTTCGATTGTCTCACTTGAAGCGACGTCAGTGGTACAATTGAGGGGAACGTGAGGTAGAAATTGCAATTGCGCTTTTATAGAAAAGAAATGAACCCGAAAGATAAAACAAGTCAAAGTATATTATTAAACTTTTGGCCAAGATTCTGATACACATGTGGCTGAAAATTTTCAGAAAACATTTCACGACCCATTTGTTCGAAGGGCCTCTGTGGTGCTTTTCCCCTAGCGTTTGTTCCATGCCGTTGTAGTCGGGCGCGAAAGGAAACGTTGTTTTCATGATTATTCTATAGGTTAAATTTTATAGTTTCGGTAGCATAGTGTTTCTATAGAATATATGGCATAGCCTATAGTTCGCGCTATCTTTGCATACCAATAGGTCACAAATTCTGGTTGCATTGAACAAAAGTCAGTCAAAGGATATCGATATCAGATGTGTTTTTTTACTTAGATGCTTCCCTTACAACACATTAAAAGTAAATACGTAGCTGTTCTTTCATTTTTGTGTTGAAGTCTGCAAGTCATGTTTCCCTTATTAAATGCTAAACATTTCTTAGCGAACGTCGGTGACTTTCAGCGTATCTCTCTATCTATCTAGCCGCTTACGTTTGTGTGCTTTCGTGGTCACTACCTTAACTTGGTGCGAACGAAAATTAGCATAGGAGGGTAAGATGGTTTGACGAATATGACGCGCTGGTCAAGACAAGAATGATGTCACAATCCCGTCATGTACGTCGTCAAACACTTCCCGCCAGACAGTGGCACATACCAACGGGCGGGGATGTGCCGCTGGTATGCGGGTATGTGCCACGGCTGATTGACACTTAATATCTACCCAGGAACGACAACAGCACATGTAAACAACTTTAACGCTCGAACGTTAAGAAATAACCGACATCGGTAGCGTCGACCGGGGAATTGCAAAAAATAAATGTCAATGTTAAGAAAAACCCGCCATAGGAAGCGTTCACCTCCCGGCGAATGCCAATAATAAATTTCAGCATCCTAAAAAAAATTGAGCCCGATCATTCTGCGTGGCAGCCAAGCATTTATTTTATTTATTTATTTATTTTGAATACCTCAAAGGCCCCAGCTGGGGTATTACATCAGGGCTGAGTATTAATTACAGAATAAAAAAAATGATTCGAGGGCAATCTTGAATTGATGCTGGCCGGAGTGGTGCACGGTAGTTGTAGGCAGACGATTCCAGTCCAGTGCGGTTGTCACAAAAAAAGGAGCGAAGATGTGCGGTGCTTTGGGCTGGTGGAGGATACACTGCGCATGAGTGGTTCGTGTGGCTTGATGAGCGATGGACTGGCAGGATGGCTGGAACTTCGATGGGGGCATGATAAAATTTCTACCACAGAGCTATACGCCAGGCCTCAGAACTACTTTTCAAATAGACGCTAATCTTCGTGAAACGTCAATAGTGGTTGCAGTGCTGCCTACCCAATTTTATAAACATTACATATGACATTCATTGATACAGCCGCCACGTCGGGTTAACGTGAATTGTGGTTAGGTGCCATGCGCTTAAGTTGAGTAATGGGCAGTGTGTAGGGCCAGCATCTTCGCAAGTATCAGCGCTTTATATCAGCTTCCGGTGTTGCTAATGCACATGTTCCAGTTGACATCGTTGCGCAAGTGTAAACAGCTGGTTATACAAAAATCTGCAACTCTTCAACATACTTCTGTGCGTGCAACATTTGCACATATTTAGCGTAATTTCATGGCTTGTTGCTCATGTAAAAAAAATTGCAACATGGTCACCTTCCCTCCACATGCTTCGCATAACGTCGATTCTCAGGTACGTGGTATTTGCCGAATTTCTTCTGTCTTCTCCACGATTTTGGTATGCTCGTAGAGACAGCGCTTCATTTGCTGGAGATGTGCAGACGTCAACTGTTGTTCAAGCTCGAAGTAATCATTTTATTCAGTAGCTCAAGACATCAAGTAATGAACACACTGTATGACACACCAGTGACGGCATATTGTACACGCTCGTAAACACGCAATATCATTGACACTCATAAAAACGCAATAAGAGCTAGACATGTATACGGCTCACACAATGACTCAATCTTAGCGATGTCAGGAGTTTATTGCCGTTTATATGGCACAACTCTCACAGTTGGTGGCCCATCAAAAACAATTCACATGCTATTCTGTGCATGCATTCTCAGTTACCGATGAGACCCCGACGCAAATAGCAGAAAATAATTGAGCTAGCTGCATTTTACGAGGCAATATTTAGGGAGGCTGTGTAAAAAATCTGCCTTTGCCTCAGACTCAAAATTTTGAAAGGCGGCTTGAGCATTATTGCCTGCACAGGACTAGAATGTGGAACACTTCCAGGGGTGCCTGGGTTTCCCTCCCATCTCTACATACATAATGAAGTAAAGTTCAGCTATATGTGAAATCGTCGCAGAGTATGGGCATAACATACATAACACACCAAACAATACGAAATTAGCCAAAAAATACGGGTTAGTTGAGTATTAGAAAACTCATAGTCAGCATGACACAAACACGTGATATCAGAATCCGCACATCTGAATGGACAGTTTGCACGGGGGGGAAACAGCATATAAATATTTGTGCAACTTAATTTTCTCCCCCCCCCCTTTGCTAGCACCTCCCCCACGTTAAAAAAACAAGAGTTATTTAAATTATGGGACAAAATTTTCACGCTGCCATCATGCACGAGTCTACAGTATTTCCTAGATTCGGTTCTGTCTTTGTAACACTGCACCACAGCAATGCGCGGTTAAGCAGAACTTCACAGTTCGTAGAAATCAAGCAACATATTTGGCGATATTTACAGGTAAACAGCCTTCGATACATCTATGTACAGAATCCCCTTGAGAATTAACTACGAAAAAAATGTAACAGGATAGCAAAATAAAACAGCAAGAAAATCACCTATTGAACCGCCAAAAGAATTGTTAGCTGGCTTTGATGAGATGTATTTCATTCTTAGGCCCCATAATTTTTGACTGAAAAATGTACGCCAAACACACTCTAACATATTACGACCGGCTATTGCGGAATGATGAAGTAGACGCCAAGCTTTCGAAAATGAAAACTTCATTTTCATTTTCTCGTGAAATCTTTCGACAGTATCTGCCGACTACGTTTTAGTGTTGCCACCTAACAGGGTATACCAGGTAGTGTCATTTTTATCACAAAAGCATCTGAATTCCCCTCGTTAGGACTAGCGTTTGGATGTTAGGTAACCGCCAAACGACGTTTGTGTTTCCTCCGAATGACAACATGCATCTTCCAGTCTAGCGTTCTTAGAAAGTAGAAGACCGGTAAATGACAGTTCCCCATGCTGCCACGCCTTCTGCCACTGAATATGAGCATAAATATTGCACTTGGTGCTTAAGTATATCGTCGGGTGGGTTAATGGGTTCAATAGTGTACGTGGTGTTGCTGCATATGCCATCTGTTTTGAAGTTCACCCCCTCCCCATTGAAATTTCGGCTTCTGTCTGACTATCATGCCTTTGTTCTCCTTGAAATCTCTGACGCCTGAGTAATGACCACTGAAACTATATAGCAGAGTCACAGCTGTACTTCACTCTATTCAGGCGATGTAGCCTAGTGTTCGTGAGCATGTTCGTCTGTATGTATTGTAATGTGTCGAGGTGGTTAGGTCGTTGCCCCCTGTCCTGAGAAGTTCAGTTGGGCCTGGACACTTCCAGGGCTTGACTGGGCGTAGAGTGGACTAATCTGGTCTCCGTCACTCGGCCGAGTGACGGTGCGTCGAATGTCTCAGCTGATGATGCTCTTGACCCATTGGTGAAAACGGTTCACTTTGGTGTAGAACCCATAGCTGCCCTTGGTACCACACAGTACGCTGTCACCCCAGCTGACGATTCCAAGAAGGTACCACCGGCCTCCGCGTTCCGCCACCAGGGGTCCGCCGCTGTCTCCGTCGCAGGCATCCCGTGCGATTCCTCCCGTCGTTGCACCCGCGCACAACATATTCTCGGTCACCTGCGCATGTTTGATCGATTTATTTTCAATACACAAGTGCCACCTGACATACACGAACGCCACTATCAATGAAAGTTCCTTGCTCTGAAGTTGAACAACGAGTAATTCTGTCCTGCTCTTGATGGCTTGCTGCGGAGAGGCTCTAGACCTTTTGCGGCACAAAAAAGTTTACCCAAAAGTTGAAGAAGAAAAAACAATAGGTCAAAAACATGCAGCCAAATGAAAAAAAATAACGTGACCACGTGCAGCTTGATTGCAGGAGTTAGAGTTGCAATATGTCATTTGCACGCAGAAATTTATCTTTTAGCTCTACTCAGTGTATGCAGACTAGGAGATCTCTTCGTGTGTAGCTACAGATGGCTGTTCATCAGAAGCGATTTTTTTTACTTATCTCGCTTCTTTCCTCTTTCTCCCCTCTTATCTTCCTCTTCTCTGTTTCTTCCGTCCTTCTGAAAGAGTGAGTAGGCCTTGTGCCCCTCCCTCCCTCTTTCATCTGTGTCGTTGTGTATTCATGTATGCCAATGAAGTGAACTAATAAATATATTGTTTGCACATCTTACTGGATTATGTTCTTTTGGAATCCATAAAAACTCAAATGAAAGAAAGAAGTTGGAGAAAATACTAAGACCTTTGGAGAGATGCCCTCGCAAGCTACAAAAAACTGGTTGGACTGTGGTCTCTAAAGCATCTTCAGGAAGACTCGAACATCTTACAACACTTCTGAGAGGACGCCAGAGTAGACAAAAGTTGGTTCGTGCGTACCGTGAAGTTTGTGGACCGTCGGCAGATGTCAGGCGAATGAATCGGCACCTCAGCTTCTTGCAGGCGGCTGGATGCGCGCTTGTTGTTCATGGTACGGCCCCAACCAGACACGAACGCCTTCTGCTTGGAGTGCAGAAAAAAGTCCTTCTCGATCTGGTCTGCCTCTCCTAAACACACGGGTCTGATGAGCGTGCTGAAAGGAACATGCTCCGCCAGCTCGACCTGCAACGAATCAACGGCGTTTATACAGGTGAGTATGGTGCGCAAAATAATATTACATCTAATAAGGGCAATATTAACTGAATGAAATGCTGAGTAGTAGTACTTGCCGTAATAATGGTATGTTCATTAGAAATACCGTATTGCCAGTGGGGATCTTTAACGTGTTCCTAAATGCAATAGCAAGGCCGTATTCACATTTATTTTTTATCAAAATGAGGCCAGGTTTAGACGGGCGCAAAAAAAATTGAATATAAGTTTTTGTACATAGCAATGCTTGGCTTTATACACCACAATTTTGACTCGTATGTAGAAGTGGCCCAGCGGGAGCATCCCTGGCACTGTTTAGCCTACCTATAGCTGATATTTACGCCGGAAGTGACGGTTGTAAATATTACCATAATAAAAGGGAAAAACAGAAGAGGCTGAGGGCCATCTCCAGCGGCATGGTGAATGTAGCAAAGTGTAATTTTTACAAGTTGTAATGAATCCCGGCTGCGGCGGCTGCATTTCCGATGGAGGCGGAAATGTCGAGGCCCGTGTGCTCAGATTTGGGTGCACGTTAAAGAACCCCAGGTGGTCAAAATTTCCGGAGCCCTCCACTACGGCGTCTCTCATAATCATATGGTGGTTTTGGGACGTTAAACCCCACAAATCAATTACAAGTTGTAATGATAGTCAATTACGCGGACATTCATAGGGCAATGCAATAATCGATGCTATACTACTTTTGTTGGCGTACGCTGCCGCTGTCTAAAAAGCGGTCAAGAACAGTGCCGCTCTTTTTACACAAGTTAAGATGTTCCCGGGGATTGATTTGATTGATATGTGTGGTTTGACGTCCAAAAACCACGATATGATTATAAGAGACGCCATAGTGGAGGGCTCCGGAAATTTCGACCATCTGGGGTTTTTCACGTGCGCCGAAATCTGAGCGGGCCTACAGCATTTCCGCCTACATCGGAAATGCAGCCGCCACTCCCGGGATTCGAACCCGCGACCTGTGGGTCAGCAGCCGAGTGCCTTAGCCACTAGACCACCGCGGCGGGGCAATGTTCTCGGAGAACAATACTTTCTTCACATCCTTTCTTTCCATATACATACACTTTCATAAGTTTTAATCTGAGCACGGAAAAAGGGTCCTGCAACACTTTTTTGAGCATGCTCAGAAAGCGCTGGCTTCCGAGAACACGTGAGTCAAATATTATAGCGCAGTACGCAGACTACAGTTCACAATAAACTAGCAAATACCGCTGAGTATTGACTTCCTTCGAAAATCTCTCGTAGAAGGTTTTCTATTAGTGACTAGCTGTTTGAACATGATGCGCGCTCAGTCCATACAGGGACTGCCGCGAGAGGCCGCGATTTGCCCAGGCGTGAGCACGCGATCACACTAAAAATTCGTAAATTCGATGCGAAAAAAAGAAGAATGTTCTCAAGGTCTCTGGGTCATATGCAGACAAATCACGACTAAGTTTGATACTCGCGTTTTGCAAACCAACCGAGATCACATCGCGGAGTAGTGTAAAAAATGGGAAATGAATGTAAATATTAAAAAGTGTTGCAGCGTGAGCTGAGCTTCTCAAAAAGATATACAAGCAAAATGATCAATACAACATCTATGACGTACCTATCAGCATACAATGCGATTATAAATATTATGCTCCTCATTTCACGAAATCGTTTACATGGAACATACACATTGACACGACCATGTTAAAAGCTAATAGGATGTTTTACTTTCACAAGAATTTCAACAGGTGACACACGAAATCAAGAAAACTTTATATTTTTTACAGACCAGGTGTATAGTTGATTGCGTATGCATAGTATGGGACTCCCACCAAGAATATATTAATAATAAAATAGAAAAACTTCCAAACCAAGCGGCAAGGTTTGTTTTAAATAATTATAGCCTCCACGCCAGCTTTTCACAAATAAAGGCCACTTTGGGATGGGGTCTCCTACGTGTATACGTATAAAAAAACTACGGCCTAAACTGTTGCACCAGATATATCGCTATAACACAGGAATCAATCACAATAGCTACCATGTTAAACCACTCTACACATTCACTCGCTGTGATAATATCAAAAAAAGATAACTAACTTCAAATGCAAATCTAACGCTTTTTTCGACTCATTATTCCCAAAAACAATAAGAGAGTGGAACAGCTTGACTGCCCTATTGCGAAACCCAGCGCCACAGGGCACCAGCGTCCAGTGCCGTGCCATGTTATCGGCCCAGTATCGCGCTTGATAAGAGAAATCTGCAGCGGCATGTTACTTGGAGGCGCTGGGTACGATTGGAGGATTTAAACTTGCCACTTTCTGATTCCCAACCGAGTAATCTGCTCGCTACACCACACAAGATATTTCTTTATTTATTGTATTACTACATCGCACCACATTATGTCTAGCTGCATGTAAAGCGACTATTTATCCAATGAACGTGCCGTTCGGCTTCATGTTTACAAGTCGCACAGTCAACATCGATGCGATATTGCTTTCCAACTAACGACTGAGTCTTTATTCGACACTAACTAACGGCTGGTGAGCACCGAATGACATGCGCATATTAGCAAGAGCACAAAGTATTTTCACTAATTGACATCTTTACTCCCAAAAATACAAATGGACTGTAGGAGCAGCGATAAACTATACACCGGCTGTTAGTGGCAATTTCTTGCCCCGCCGCGGTGTTCTAGTGGCTAAGGTTCTCGGCTGCTGACCCGCAGGGCGCGGGTTTGAATCCCGGCTGCGGCGGCTGCATTCCCGGTGGAGGCGGAAATGTTGTAGGCCCGTGTGCTCAGATTTGGGTGCACGTTAAAGATCCCCAGGTGGTCTAAATTTTCGGAGCCCTCCACTACGGCGTCTCTCATAATCATATAGTGGTTTAGGGACGTTAAACCCCACATATCAATCAAATCAGTGGCAATTTCTTTTTTCTTTGAAAGCCGTTTCTCGCTCTTGCTGCTGGTCAACATGTACAGAGCTTTTATAGTGCCGTGTTCGATTCATATGTGGGCATACAATTGAATATTGGGTAGTGTGTCCCCGCTAGCGACGTTATGGCAGTATACAGCGGGCGTACAAGTCTACAGATTTGCAGTTATATTTATACCTACAACTAAAAAGCCGCCCAAGAAAGTACTGTTTGAATCTGCGAAAAAAGTACGCCATTGTTTAAGTTCAATGAGGCCTACCGAATTGCGAACTAAAGATTGCGTATTTGTACATAAAGCCATAGAAGTACCGGCCACTGTACCCGGCAGATTTCGGTGACAGCCTGCGTCGCTGAAAGCACGACGCATCAATCATTGTCGCTGCTTGTGCGGGCCCCGCGTACGATGAAAAATGGTTGATTTAGATTGAAGGATATCTCAACTATACGTTACAGGCGTTCTTGTGCTTTAAAATTGTGTGTACTCAAAGCAAGAAGACCCGGTAACATGTACAACGATGCGATATATGCCTAATGCTCGCGGACGGGGCACTGGGTAAGACCGCTCTCGACGCAGCTGAGTTGCGATGTTTGACGTTTCTACATTTGAGCTTCAAAAGATTTCTCTAACGGTTACCTTCAGTCAGTATAAGGACAGGCAGTATTAGTCAGTATAGTCAGTATAAGGACAGGCATTAGTCAGTTTTAGTCAGTATAAGGACAGGCATTATCAGACATGCATTTCTGTTGTGGTAATATCCAATGAAAGCAGCTTTGCTCGCCTCCGATGAGAAAGCTTGTGAAGCCTCTAGAGAGCATTTACGTCTTGTCAACTTTGTGGCGTAAACAATTCGCTCTTTCTGTTGGGAGTGGCGACTAGCTCCTGAGTTACAAACACTGCAACAGGAAATTGTTACACCAATACATCACTGATGCCAAATTGGTATATGCAATACGCAGGAGACATGCAAAAAACGTGCATTAATTGCTGCAATGCACGTGCACAGCAATAATTACCGCTGTTGTTGACATTGCCTGAGTTATAAAACTATAGCATGCCAGTAAGACAATGTTCTGCGTTGGCTGTTTAAGGTTATTAACGCAATTTTTCTCACTCCAAATGAAAATAATAAATGACAGTGGTTTCGCGTATCACAGATCATGATCATGATGTGTGACATGTGAAATTGTGAGGCATGCTCGAGGTCTGCTAGGGTAGCATCTATTCGTGCTGTCAAATCGAGTGCCATATATTCAACAATACTGAAACATAACCCTGTACACGTTATATATACGTCTATCCTGCGCTGGTACAAACAGTGTGTGCTGCAGTGCGCACCAGCGCACTCCAGTGAAAATTCCAGCGCTTCCAGCGCCTCTTATTGTGCATCAGCGTCACAGCGATCAAACCAGCACCCTTACCACTGCGACCCAGCTATTTTCCAGTGTGACCATCGAAGTACCAGTAAATACCAGCGTGTAACACTGTTTCCAGCGTGTACCAGTGCCAAAAGACGTACTGGCATCACGCTATGGACGCTGGTTTTTTTCATTGGGATGACGACTAAGTAAATATAACACGTTATATTTTTTTATATATGCTGTGAAGGCGCTCCTGCAATATGTATGTACTACGTGTATTAGAAATGTATTTCGTGATGCATCCTTAAGTCTTGATAAATATCACGGCATTTTTTGTTCGTGTGTTCATATGTTTTGCTAGTATTTCATAGTACTGATTGTTTTTGTTCTCCTGCTACGTACTGCTTAAACATCGATGTACGTAATCTGTAAATAGATAAACAAAATTATTGGAGAACAAGCTGCGCGTGACGTAATTTCTTTCCCATGCCCTCCACTCCTGTTAGCTTCCAGGGCATTAGTCTGGATGAGAGAAGAGAGAATGCGATTGCAGTGTGCGACCACTCCTCTTAACTCTGCTGGTACTGGAAGGATTCCTAAATTTTTTTTGTGGCGATGAATTCGTAAGGCAACAAGCTTTTTAGTGACTCCATTGAATTTTTACTTAAAAAAGGTGTTTCAGGGCCCCTTTATTGTTA